TATTCTTTCTCCCCTGCCTGCACCCCCCCCCCCCCCTTCCCTCCAAACCCCCCCCATCTCTCCTTCTCTCTTTCTCCATCACCTCCCACAGACAATGTTTATCTGCTTTAGCTCGCACTCGCTAGGTTCACTGCCACCCCCCTTCCTTTTTTCTAGTGTGCTTCAGGACAATGCATTTAGCGTATGATAAGGAATGAGGCTGAGTGGAAAAAATGCTTAGCTTTTAACCCTTCCTCTCTGTGTCACAATGAGCAAACGCCAACTTTTGCTTAGAAAACAGAAAGTTGAGCCCCTGACGGTAATCACAGACATACTGCAAATTCCTGGACGCAAATTGAGGATTTTCCAGGATTAGAAGAAACGTTTGTGATGCCAAGTCTCTTAACAGCAGTTTCTTATTCAGGGGTTAGGATGAATCTCTTACTTTCCCATAAGTTCTCAATCTGCTGCAGTCTGACCAGTCTACTGTACAATGTACTGGGGCTGCTGCAGCTGCAGTCACAAAATGGTTGACTCCCCCTACTATGCCTGCACAAAATGGCCTCCTTACTACCAGCTGAGTACAGTACAGAGATGCCGTGCATGAGTGTGATTCATTATTTAGCACACTTCTCCCTCTGAACAACATTAAAGATGAATGCAAATCTCAAACTTAGACACAAATAAATTTTGCTGTTTCTCTGCAGTATAAGGAAATAGAAACGATAAAGGACGAGTCCTACACATCCAGCGGTGTCAAACTCTTTAAAATATATAACTGTCAGCCGTATTTTTTATCAATATTTTAGGAAGAAAAAAAAGCCCTAGCATTATTTATATGGATTTATATTATTTAACTGCAGCTTACCTGAATGTGCATTTTGATAACTGCTTTCCCAATGAGTGTTGCACCAAAAAACGTCCAGAACGGGACCAGAAAGTGTCCACATGTTATTCCTGCCAGGTCAAACAGGGGATTTGGTATCTGTTGAAAACAACACTGATGATCAGACTTGATATTGTGTACATTCACATGAAGAAATACACAATAAATCACGCAGAGAAAGTGTAATTATAAATAAAACAATATAACACAATCGTGAAATCTATGTTGTATATTTTCCTCTGCATTTACCCACCATCTGTATTTCACATATCCACTTACTTACAGGAGGTCACTGAAAGTGCCATGAGAACTTCTGATACTTGTCTTATCTGATATTTACTTTTTGATTGTGTGCTGAATGATTCAAAGCTGACATTTCCTTTGAAATATGCATCAATGTCAATATTAGATGAATGTGGATGGGACAAAATAATTCAGACTGCTAAAACTCGTAGCAGGGGTGAAGAATATTTCATAGAAAAAAAAAGATTATGCATGATTTTACTCACAGAGGCACAGGCTAAAATCCCCAAGAAGCCGACTTTCTGGATGAGTTTCTGCACAGCTACTTTTGCTCTGGTGGCAAAGTCCTAAAAAAAAAAAAAGAAAAAAAAAAAGCAAAAGTAAGAATAATGTGAGATAAAATTTTCACCAGAGGCGTGATGCTGTTTAACTGATAATGATCGCATACTTAATACTGACTATACACGTAATGTAGACAAAGCTTCATTCACAGGACACATCTCCAACATGCTCTGCATATTTTTTCTACAAAACAGCAAATTGCTAAATAAAAATAATTTATTTTCATTATTGTTGATTGTAAAGTTTTCTACTGGATACATACCATAATATCTTTATTAATACTGGATTGTGTCTGACAGTTTAAAAGTGTTTCAAAGGAATATTAGTGATCTACATTTATTTTGATTAATTATTCACAATTAATTTCAAATAAACATAAGATTGATAGGTAAAATTGTTTGGATCCAAATAATTAATATGAGTACTGAAACATTTATTAAGGGAAAATTACAGCAGAGAGTTCTTTCAGGGTTTTACTAAGCATTTATGTGGAAGAGGGAAAATCACAGAGGTGTGTGAAATAAATGTGTGTAGCCAGCTGCCATGTTGTTTTTGAAGGGGGTTTTAATAAATGCTTTGAAGCCCATTCAAATGTCACATTAAAACAAGTCAAGAATTTAGGATAACATCTTGATTCAGGAAAACACTGAACAATCAAAGATCTGCTTTTAGGATTTCTCCATCACCTCTGACTGTTAATGTTTCAGCTTATTTACTGATTACTGTCTCTGTACTGACTTTAAATCTTTCCATTTTATTTCTAAAAACATAGTAGTGTTCAAGTGAAACGAAAAATGGGGGAATAACCTGTTTTTTTTTTTATCTGTGCTTGTTTCTAAATGATTTTAGAGGAGCAGCAGCTGCAAGATGCAGATTTTCTACCTCCTGTAAATCTGCCCTCAACAAAAAGTTGGAATCAGTTCCTGAACAAAACAGCAACTGACTAACCAAATAATGAGACCCTCAGAAACTAGATGTACAGCAGAGCAAACTGTTCACAACTTGAAAATACACATATTTTATTGGATTGCTCATAAGTGTGATTTTCCTTTAGTAAATCGCAGAATGTGTTTCTAAACCTTCCCAAGTTCAGGTGCTTAATTTTTAATGATAAAAATATATAAAATACAATATTTAAGCATCATCTTTACAATATTTACACTGTTTTAATTCAACTTTATCCACATCTTGCAAAATAAATGAGAAAAGTATGTGCGATGAGTGTGATTGGTGGGAGAAGTTGCCTGCTTGTTTAAATTTATCACAGGAACTCATCTAATAACAAGCAACTTCTTAGAGGGGAAAAAAGTATTTATTTAAATGTCTGAGTGCCAAATGTAGGTTTTGAGATAAATCAGGTCCTGAGGTAAATTCATGATCATCCTTCCAACATAATAATCTCCAAGTTCACAGCAGAAATGCCACAAATTCACCTGCCTAACATTCAACAAGAAATGCAAGTTTTACCTCTAAACGTGCTTCTTCATTCAATGACAATTATAAACTGGTTTTAGCATGTCTGTAGCTCACTTCTAGTGCCAGTTTAAGTTAAGTCCATTGTCATTGGGAATGTGAGAACAAGACAACAGACTTTGGTCATTCCAGTGACTCACATATTCTTACTTTTTCTGCTGGTGTTGCCCTATCCGTCTTGACAGCTCCACAAAAGCCTCTTTTCACAGCAATGACACACATTTTTCCCCAAATATACCTTTTCTGGGAAGAGGAGCTTTAATCTGTTTGGATTTTTACTTAAACTACTTCTGGGAAGACAGTGGGAATGCACAGGAAACCTTTGATCCAGGACCTTGCATATTTTCTGAGGACCCAACATTTAGGTAAATTATAAAATGACTGCTTGCTCTTTATGATAGATTTATTATTGTTAATTATTTTTTTCCAAAGAAATTGTGTGATTCAGGGCTCATATCATAACTCTTAAGATAATAGCAATAAAATATACTGAGGACACTGCATTCCCAAGATATTCAGTGCAAGTTTTTTTTTAATTTCTAGGCCTTAATATGTTAATAAATTGATCTTTTGGCAGCAGAAAATGTAGACTTTACAGCCAAAAACTACACAATGACATTCATTCTTTATTATTATTTCTACATTTGTCTGAGTTTTTCTTAAAGTTGATGCATTTTTATCATGAAAAACTATAAGTTTGTTATTTGTTTGTGAAGTTAATGAAATTATTGTGGTAACACTGCCTCTTTTTTTAAAATGCTCAGAAGTTCTCAAGATATTTATACTTGAATATATGATTAATATATAAATAATAAATCATTTTTAGTGATGTCATATATTATATTCTATTAAGTAACCCCTGTTTCTTTGATATCTTAATAAATATTTTGCAGAGTAAAGCCTTACATGTATATTTAATGTATTCTTACTCAGACTTGTTCAGAAATATGACATCGTAGTACTTTAATTCAAATGTGTGTCAGCTGCTGTATATATTGTGTGAAGGTATATATTACAGCTTGCATTTGCTATATGAAATTATATAGATGTTTCACATGAACATCATCCTTTTGTGCCTTTTAGATTTAACCCCAGACTTTGCGCCCAGAATATTTTTAATGCAAAAAAACTTCACATTTATTCATTAATAACTGCAACTGCAGTTCTCAATAAGTATATGAGGGCATTTGTTCCAAAGTGAGACAGCCTCTATTTAAAGACAATACACACTCTTTCTAACTGGTTGCTAATATGGACACAAAATTATGTTGATAAAGTTCCCCTCAAGACATTTATATAATTGTTTGTCCTTCTTGAATCACAGTGTTAATGTTTTAAACAGTTTCCTGGTGATTTTCATGTGGCAAAGTGTTTACATCTATTGCATTTTAGAATGAAGCCCTCAAATAATGAGTCAGTGGGCTGTTTAATTATTTATAATCTAAATATCCTTAATGAATGTTTGCTCTATGTGAAAGCATCTTTTTCACCTAAAACAATACAAAATCAACTGACAGAGAATCTAGAGAAAAAACAAATTAATTTCATAAGAAAAGATGAGAAAAATTTGTTTTCTTTTAAAAAAGTAAGGCCTCTGTTTCTGAAACATCATATTAATCTAAAAAAAAAAAAAGAGGTGCAGCAGGGGGCTGGCAATACATGATCATACCTAATATGGTCAACAAAACCAGTACAGTGCTGATGACATTCTTTACGGGGTGCAACCCAGCGGACAGGAAATTTGAGAGACATGGGAGGTCGCCTAATAAGGCGGTGGTGGGGGGAGCGAAGGGACACAGAATCTGATTGGTTCACTATTTGAATTTCTGCCTCCCCTGATGTCCAATCATGAAGGTTTATCCTTGGACAAGCCTGTAGTTTTAATTCTAGCCTGTCCCCATGTGTTCATACATGTGTGTGAGTGTGTTTGTGGGGGTGTATGTGTGTGTGTGTGTGTGTGTGAGAGTTGCTCAGCTGGTGGGAGACAGGGAGGGAAGGAATGTGTATGGCTGGTTTACAGCTGAACCACTGAGGACTGTGTCTGGACCAGGGACACCTGACAACCGCTGGTGTTGTAGCACAGACAGAACCCTGCAGAACCAATCAGTGCCATGGAGACGGCCTGTGAATCCCATTCATTTTCTGACATCATGACACATGCATTGTTTACATTAGGTGCTGTAGTTGAGCTTTTGGCTCATGCAGTGAGAGCGAGCATGAAAATATCACCGCAGTGTGAACAAAGGGTCCCTGAGGAGGTGAGGGGAGGGTGTAAAAGGGTGTGTGTATATGTGTGTGTGAACTTGTGACACTGTGATTTACTATAGTTGAACTATGTACTTGGACTCTCTCTCTCTCTCTCTCTCGTCTGCATTTCTGGACCGGGGAAGCGTCTATCTTGGATGGCTGGGGTTCAGACATCCAGACTCTGTTGTTGGCGGCTTATGGAAAATCACCATCTTTGCCAGGCAGCTTGCCAAGGGCTGCCTGCCGCCTCCCCAACCCCCACCCCTCCTCCACCCCCATCACCACTGGCCTGTAGGGCTGGGCTTAGCAGCAATTACATTTGGTAAGATCTTGTCAAGGGTGCAGTGTCATTAAAACCATGGGGGTTTTGGTTCCAGGTTTGGCTGTTCGGCACAGATGCCTTACTCAGCAGTCTGCACACCCACCCCACATGGAGCCGACATCTGATCTGTTATAGATCTGGACTTCCCCCTCCATACACATATATCACATGTGTTTAGACAATCTAATTATCTCATTTCTCATTTCAATAAGCAAATCAGACGTGCTCCTCAGAAACCACATTTTACTGGTTTTGGTTCTGGTACTGGTTCTTTTAATCTTTACAGCAAGTTCCCACCATGGTTTCATGAGCATGTGCTACTTTTGTCTCAAAATCAATTAACCCCTTGGAAAATATAAAATGACACATTAATCTGTGCACCATTATAAAGATAAGGGATGTAGCATGTCTTCTTGTCAGAGTAAATACACATATATTCAATATATAGCAGGTTGTTTGATGGATAATGAATTGAAAACAAGATTTAAGTCTTATTAGCTAAATGTCCAAAAAATGACTTCTGGTCTATAAGTGCAGGAGCATGCCCTGTAATGAAATTTGTGAGGATGGAGCAGAGTGAGCTCCACATTTAACATGATTGTCTGAATATCTGTGGTTACAGTTGCCAGGTGATGACACTTATTAGAAAAATCCACAGGGAAAAACCCCAGAGAAGACAGTTTTTTGAACTTGTTACAGCATCCCCAAAGCATTAGCAGTTTTTATATTTTCAGCAGCACCATTACTTTATGCGGATATACTAAATGTGAACAGGATCAGTTGCAAGTATTCGGTTTTTGAAACAACTATGTTTTTTTCTTATTTTTTCATCTAAAGTGCATTACTGTACGATGTGATTCTTGTTTCTCTTGGATTTGATGACATGTTGCTCGGAGGGTTTCTTTACAAAAAATTGACTTTTCATTGTGATAAAGTTGGCAAAGCAAACACTTTGTTTTCAGT